CCCCCCCTAAATGCTAAATAGTTTTTATTTTGATAAATTATCAGTTTAGTTTAATTTAAAGTATAATCTGGTAGTGGGTAAAAAAAGAAAATGAAATATATCATCAATAAAGTAGTGAGACGGTTATTTAAATATTTTAAGAACTTTATTAATATTGTTTTATTTATTATGCCATATGAGCATATATTAGCATAAGATATAGCCTATATCTTTAATTGGCATTTTTCAACCTGTTATTTATTAATCATTATTTATCAACATATCGTTCTTTCTATGTAATGTGAAAAATGTAATGTCTTAATATACACAAAAAAAACATCAAATGTAAAAAAAATTAATAAAAAAAAAACAATTTCTTAAACATCTTAACTGCTTGTCATGGAAGATGAAGCATTGTTTATCTAAAACAATTCTCTATCGATCACTCATTTCTTACTAATTTTATTAAAAACGTTTAAAAAGACAATTTACAACAATAACTACAACGTCAAAAAACCCTGCTGTTTTTATTTAAATTGTAAGTGAAGATTTTTCAGCGTCGTAGGCCTACCAGGCTATATTCGGTCGTTAGAATTTGGGGAAATTATTTAGAAATCCACAGTAGTATTTTATAATTAATTTGTAAGCTGAATTAATAATGTAATGCACAATATCGCTCATATATACAGGGTTTCCTTAAATCTGCCCAAGGTCACGTAAGAGCAGAAGACTTCTCGTGCGCTGGAAACTGCGCTTTGTGAAATTACACTGCTGTGAACAGACTAACTGTTCAAAACGTGTTCATCTAGATCTCACTTTCTATCAATGTCCATGTAGCCTGTATTAGGCTATATTCGGTCGTTAGAATTTGGGGAAATTATTTAGAAATCCACAGTAGTATTTTATAATCAATTTGTAAGCTGAATTAATAATGTAATGCACAATATCGCTCATATATACAGGGTTTCCTTAAATCTGCCCAAGGTCACGTAAGAGCAGAAGACTTCTCGTGCGCTGGAAACTGCGCTTTGTGAAATTACACTGCTGTGAACAGACTAACTGTTCAAAACGTGTTCATCTAGATCTCACTTTCTATCAATGTCCATGTAGCCTGTATTTCAATGACAATTATAAGCATATCTCATCTATCTGCCTCTGTGGCTAACTCTAACTCTACTGTTTTAAGCACAAGTCGAAAGGAAATAGTCCCATTAGGTCTACTTTGGACCATTAGGGCTAAACTTATAAAACCCTCTCGGAGAAAAATAAATAAATGTAAGCAACACCATTCATGTAGCCTGTATTTCAATGACAATTATAAGCATATCTCATCTATCTGCCTCTGTGGCTAACTCTAACTCTACTGTTTTAAGCACAAGTCGAAAGGAAATAGTCCCATTAGGTCTACTTTGGACCATTAGGGCTTAAACTTATAAAACCCTCTCGGAGAAAAATAAATAAATGTAAGCAACACCATTTTATTTAAAATAAGCAGTAATCTGATGCTGCACCTGTTGGACGGTTTCCTATTGGAAGGTTATGATGATGCACTTTATTATTTTATTGATGAGTTTGTGGCGTTTCAGAAGTAACAGAATCTGATGGGTGGCATGAGACACCGGCACTCAACGGGACCATGCCTCATGATACAGCCTATCCACTTGTAGGCTACTCGCTGTAGGTAACGAGAACTGAAACCTTCCCCTGTCTTTTCTGCCTTTTAAATTCCGCGAAAAAGAATGGTCGTCTTAGCTAAGCATTTTCACAAATGTGCGTAAGTTTCAACAGCGTTTGAAAACAACGGTCCATTAACCAAAACCAATCATTAACCAAAAAGTTATCGTACAATTTAGCCATTGCACGCTCAATGCATAGCCTACTAATGCGCAAAAAAGAAAACTTCGCGTGAGGAGGTAGCTACCATCAACAGCTGATCTACATAACAAACAAAAGCTGTCATTATCACGTTGTTAATTTACATTCATTTACATACTTACACTTCACAAAAGTCTACCCTGTTTGTTTAAAATGTCTTAAAGATAGTTGAGAGTCGGACAACTGCGCTAGGGGCGCCAAAAGACAATTTGGGTTGCGCTAGTCGAACCTGCGTCCAGAAAATTACTGACAGAAAGTCGCCCCCCCACGAAACTCGCTGAATAATTCGCGCACTGATCATCAGTAGACTAGAAAGGGCAAGCAAGAACTCTGGTATTTCTGTACTTCCAGCACTTTTGGTCGTGTTCTGTTGACTTTGTTTTACCCGTCTATCCCTGTGTGTACAGTCTGGCTCGGTGTTCAGTAATCCGCGCCGTCCATGATTTCCCCACAACCCTACTAATGCCCCAAAGCTGCAGCTGCCACCCCGGCCGGCCGCGGAGCGCCACACGCTGCCAGTCGCTACATTGATCAATAATTGACCAGCTCGACGCCTCCCCGACCCGCTACCCCGGTGCAGCATCGGGTCGACTGAACCGATATTTACTCGCTCGGAAGGGACGTTTATTCTCCCGTGCTTTAAATGCAGCCTCAGTAAGCTTTAGCCAACAGGCATAAGATCCCTTCGGTGCGTCTACGGATTAGACTGTCGCAATGTGCGCTGCGCGTATTGGTGCCTGACTGCAACGGCATTTGTGGACGCCTCTCGCGTTCTTCTGTCCGGGAACAGCGGGGGTCCCGTTATGGTGCGGACAGTCGGAGTATCGAAAGAGGGAGATGCAGTCAAGGCGAACAGGAACTGACTTCAGGACATAAAGACGAAGAAAATCACTCACTGTCACGCAGAACGTCTTCGTACAAGCAGTTCTGCCACCACCGGCGCTCGCGGAGAATTTCAACCGAGCTTGTGAATTCCCCGGCCGGTGCCGACAGCGAGGCTCCATCGTCCGGCCGATGACAGCAGGAGAAATATATTTTAACAGTTTAGGCTACATTATACGCACAGAGCCCGGGGACGGCGATAATCCATCGTTCCGTAAAGCGTTACTTTTACAGACGGAACGAGCTGTGGGAAACTTGAGTTCTTTTTTCGCTTCCGGTATCACCGAAGAAACCGACTGGTGCACCCGCTCCCTCTCCTCTTCTTTTGGACGCTGAAGGTTTAAAGAAAAATGGGTCTTTGAGGAGTGCTGGCAAATTCCCCTCAACTACAATGGTACGTGCTGTGAGAATCAATATCTTTCCCACTGTTTGCAGAAATCGAAGCCAACAGATTTCAAACATCAAAGCAGAGCTATATAACAAATTGAAAAAGCACAAAACAACAAATATAAAAATAGTACTTTCACCTCTCTTACAACACGCAGTTAATAGCTTTTATAATAACATTGTTGTTTGGAAAATGCTGTGAAATACCAAAAACATTTAATTTGGTTTTTCTGTGTCTAGCAGGGAATATAATAATAATAATGTAATTATTATTAATAATAATGATGATTATGATTCCTCAAGATACAAAACAATTAGTCTATAAGATAGTCTCATCTAAATTAATGTAACGGGTAATTCAATTTTTTAATGTCATGAGACTTGATTGTAATTTATTTTCTTTTCTTTTTTGTAGTTTTAGGGTAACTTTAGGTTGTACTTGAATGTTAATATTTATTCAGATGGCATTATCTCTCCAAAAGCAACATCTAAACTGAAGCCTAATTAAATTGATTTTAAAAAGATGTAAAACTATCTGTAGCAGAATGGATTTTTTTTTATTAATATAAGTGTGCACGACTATTTCATATAGATTGTCTTATGAGGTTGTTGAAGGTTCTCTTATTAGAGGTTTTAGTCAGGGGTTTAGCATGTATAGGCCAGTGTTGTGATGTACCTGCTTAAGATAGCCTACCAGTAGTTTAAATGTCATTTGTAAATTAAAAGAGAAATAAGTAAACAAATAAAACATCAGCCAGAAGACAACTGCTGAGATGTGATGAAAGCTGGCAGCACATCTTGTCATGTCTGAAATACCTATCAGGTTGATCTTTTGAGCCAGGGTAGGTTATCTTAAAAGATATTCAGTCAGGGATTTTTCAGCACGAGGCAGTTTTGGGGGGGGGGAAAGAACAGCATTATATCTATATCAGATCAATACTTGTGATCGATTTCTCTATACCTACAGTGTTAGATTTACACAGGTGTGTGCTAGAACCTACAATGTGTTCAGAGGAGCAACTTCACTTCCAGTTATGTGTTAGTTTAGGATTTACATGCTCTAGTGATTTTGTCTGAATAAATATTTGCACAGCAAGCACATCAGGCTGTGTTTAGATGGAGAATTTTGTACTTTAATCAGACCTTAAACGTGAGATTGACAGGCCTTTGCAGGTTGAAGGGACTGGATCTGAATATGAAACGCCACATTTGCCTGCAGCGAGCATTTTTACATCATGACTAATCTTTTCAAAGTGATGAACATCCTCTTCAGCCAAGCACACCTGTGAGACCTACGTAATAAAAGAAATGCAAACTAATTCTCCATGAGCGAGGTCAAGCACTTGAGTCAGATTAAAGCGTCTGGACGGTGTGAAGTGAATTCTCACACGCCGAACTCGGTCAAATTAGCGGTTTAAATGCATCTCGCAAACCTGCTCGCTGAACTCACAGACTTAGTTATGGAGAACTCGGCTCAGGCTGTGAATTCCAGAACTGTCTTTTCTAGATTGACTGGTTGTCACGATGCCAGGGTTGCCATGGATGCAGTGCCCTGCGGTGATTGGTGGATGGCTGCATGAACTTGTTTCTGGGTGTAAACTTCTTATGGGAGGACTTTTTGTGTTTGTGGCATCTGTGTTGGCACATGAGATGCCGTAATGCAAAGCCACCTACTCACTTTTATTCAGCCCATTAACAGTGATGAACATGTGCAAACGAGCACCGCAACACCACTGCACACCTGCACACACAAATGCTCATGCGTATGCACTTATAAACTCCTAGCGAATGCATGCATGCATGTATAGATGCACCTGGAGCACCCGTAGAGGCCCTTACAAGCACGTTACGGAAAAGACAAGCCGTAAAAGTGGAGATCATAGGTGCCGGGTGCAAACCGGGTTTGGCGTGAGCCAGAAAACTCATGTCAAAACCCCAAACAGCTTTAATAATTAATAGCCTCTCGTTCATTCCAGATTCTCTCTATCGGTCTGTCTCTCCATCTCTCTTTTTCTCCTTCTGCTATTGCCTCCGAGATGCTGGTGTGAAAAATCACATTTTTCCAACAGTTCTCCCCGAGGTGCTACTGGCAGACACACAGAGAAAGGACGCTTCATCCTTTTATATAGCACTCGTTCTCTCATCCCTCTTTTCTCCTCTTTTTTTACTCTCTCTGTCTCTCTTTGATGCGGTTGCCATAGAGGACAGGTTTATATGCTGATTTGGCTCAGTATTGCCAGCTAGTAAATCATAATGATAAAAAGCAATGGTGCTAATAGTAATTGCTGTGTCGTTTGGAGACAAACAAAAGACAAAGAAAAAGGAGTGAAAAAAGGGAAAATCAGTGGGACCTGTGCTGATTGTTCTCAGGCCAGCTGGTTTTTGAATGTGTGGAGGACTGCCAGGTGTGTGTGTTGTGAGTGGGAATGTTCTGTGTAAAGTTAGCAGATACATATGTAGTCTCTGTGTTGGAGTGAACAAATAATTGCAATGCTGTGTGTGTGAATTACTGAATTTTAGTTTTTTGAAATTGTGTGAAAGAGGGGTTTTTTTATAAGAAAAGGCAAGAAGTATTATTACTATTGCTCATATTTTGGGAATTTTCAAAACTCCTAACCCTAAGTATTAAATGTTGGTGCGTAATTTCGGTTTGTTGGGGAACAATGTGCTGTTACTTTTCTAAGAGTTTCTAAAAGGCCTTAAAATGGGTTGAAAATAAATTATAAACTTGTGGGGCCCAGGCTATATCTACACTCTAAAAACAAATTCAGGAATCCTCTTACTTATAAATGCATGGTTGCAAGTTAAAGATTCTAAAATTGATTTAATTAAACCTTGGAAGTTGGAATTATTTTGATGAGCTCTGTTGACACAATGTTGATCATTGCATGCGTGTAATTTAAACTAAATTTTTTTGTGTTAATTGATTTTTTTTTAAATTGATGTAAATTAACTCTTTGCCCGCCAGCATTTTTGAAAAAAGTTGCCCGCCACCGCAAGCGATTTTGAGGATTTTCACTAAAATTTTATGGCCTCCAGTATATTTTGCTGTATGAATATTTGAATATGCAATACACCAAAATAAAGATCAGAGCCTCTACTTTTAAACAAAAAATTTATATTTCCATTTTATTCTAGCTTAAAGCATTCTTTTTTTTTTTAATCAACACTTGAATATAGGTAGGTTTCATAAAAATGCATAATTTTGAGCAAGAAGATGTGAAAATCACATTTTTATCAAAAACTACATCTGGATAATATTCAGTACTATTATCAAAGCATAAATCCAATAAATCGCTTCCATCAATACCTCCAAAACTTGCACAGACATATACCACTTCCTGGATCAACATTTTACTCCGTAACATTATGCAGTTTTCATTTATATGTTGTCTATTGCTGATGATCGCATTATTTTTCATATGCATCTGTTTACGTAAGAAATCACTCATTTCTGCGTCCTGTTCATGTGTGTTTTTCAGAAGATGTGTAATAGCGCCCCCGAGTGTATAACAGTGAAAACACAAAAAGCCGTAAAAACTCGTCTTTGGCGGGGAATCGTTTTCTTCTAAAAGACGAGATAACTTGTCAATGGCGGGGAAAGAGTTAATGAAATTGTTTTAATAACTTTGAAATTTGTCAGTGGGTTATGTTGAAATTAGTTTTACTTTTAATAATTATTTAAAAAAAAAATTAAGTAGTAAACAAATTTGTGTTTAAATTGCCAGTTATCTCAGTGTAGTTTGTTGGTTGAACATAATTTTATTCGGGGGAAAAAAAAAAAAGTTACCTGTTGCGTCAATGTTTTTTGTTCAGCCAAAACATTTTTAGAGTGTAGGGGCCAAGAGCCATTTGCAGCAAACAGCTTAAAGGGATAGTTCACCCAAAAATTAAAAGGATATAAAAAAAAAGCCTTGGAAGTCAGTGAGATCTAATGTTGTTTACAGGTTTGAAATAACTTGAGACTGATTAAATGATGAGCAAATTTCAGTTTTTGAGTGAACTATCCCTTTAAGTGACCACCCAACTGCATAGCAACGCATTAACCAGTTTACCATGGATATTAACCCCTCAAATTTTCTTATGTTATTTTTCAAATAACATTGGCTCAACCAATGACATGAGTTTGGGTCTGGGACCACCAGTTTGTCCGAACAATAGTCGATGAGGGTTTGAAAGTGGTTTGAAACAGTCATCAATTTTGCAGTGCTGTTTGGCGCTGAAATTACACACTTCACTCTTAAACTCCAGACCACAAAAGTGTGTGTCTCTCTCTCTGTGTGTGTGTGTGTGTGTGTGTGAGAGAGTGAGAGAGAGAAACTTCAGATTTCAGGAATTTAACCACTTAAGCATTCCACTAAACCACAAACGTATTGCCATATGCCTCCAACCCATATACACCTCTCTCTCTTCCCCCATAAGGACCTATGGAGGAACCCCCTCATTTGATTCCGTTATTCCCACCAATTAAACATTTAAACAAAGAGCTCTATTTATCAGTGAGAGCGAGGAAACTTGTCGTAATTAACACATTTACATACATCTCCATTGACTCCAATTAGGTCAGAGGCTCCCAGAGCTGCTTTGAAATGCCCCTCTTTTCTCTGTGCGTTTCGCCTCTAAAATGTTAATTAAGAAGAGGCTTGAGATTCTGGCTGAGGGCTGGCCATATGGACCCTGCATATGCTCCATATGCATACAGCCCATATATAATTAATAGCTCACTACAGAAAAATAGGAGCTTTTGGAGGCGAAGACGAGGCTGAAGGTTCCTCCTTTCGAAATAAGGATAATAGTGAAATTCCGAGTTCCTCCAGGCGCCAACTAGACTTCTGTTCTCCATCTGTGGACAAGACAAATGAATGGATGATCTCAGCACTGCGAAATACGGTCGAGTTGAGTTTGTTCAGCTGGATTGTGCGGCCTGGCCTCGCTGACGGCTTTAATTTTCTGGTTTATCTTAGGGGTTGAGAATCGAGTCAATTAAATTAAGAAAAATCGAATGAGTCAGTGGAAGGTTTTCCATTTTCTGCTTCGGTTCAGAGCGATGGGAGCCATCGGAAAGAGCGCATGGTGAAATCTGGTTAGCTGATTTCCTGGAACATGAGAGTAATCAATACCCTGAAACTAAACAAAAGTAAACACTTGAGTCAATCAATACCTCAAATCCGTATAAAGAAATCCAACCAAGAGCATTCAGAGTTTGTCAGGTATTTTGACATTTGTGCAAGTGCTTTAAACCTTCCAAATGCGTCACTTTTTGCTAGGCTTTTGGTTAATGTTCTTTAAATGACAGTCAGGTTTTTTAAAAAGAGCTGGAGAGCTTCACAAAACATCAGTGAAGGACTCTTCTGCTTACTGCTGTTTGCCTTCCCATGGCTTTCACTCTTTAGCTCTTCTGTTTTCACCAAATTTCTCAGAACAGCGAGAGCCGTGAACTTGTCTGAGTAACGTGTGCTTTTTAATTGTTCTCTTTAATTATGAAAATGCATGTTTATGTTCTAATAAAGCCAGTCAGCAATTGTTCCCTGCTTGAACGAGATTTTAGCGCGCTGTAGCAAAGACCCTATAAAAGTGAGGGAAAATTGGGGAAGCTAACATTTCATTGGGTGGATATGAATAGGCTTTGTTATTTACCACTGCCTGAGCCTAGTGCCAATGCCTGGGACTTATTATGAGCAAACTGTGTGTGCGCATATGTGCTGGAATGGATGTTGAAATGTATTTATGCACACAAACGTGTATTTGTGGTTAAAGTTTATTGTTCATATTTGAACATTATTAGTGTGTGTGTAGATGGTGGATGGTTGTTTAATGAGATCCTGGTTGAATACCTGGTCTGGTTTGTGAAATTTTAAGTTTTACTCTTTCAAATGGTTCCTTTTGCTTTTCTCTTCTTTTTAATGGAGATGTAGGTGTGCAGTGCACCACTCTAAATCGTTTCTTGCATTTACAGTAAATGCATTTTTTTCTCTTAATAATGTTGTTGTTGTTATTGAATGGTTGTTGTGTACTACTGCAGCTTTTGAGTCTAAGACAAATTTCCTGTAAAGGACAATAAAGCATTGAAGTGTTAAACTTAAACTAAAAAACATTTAATCTCATTTAATTCAATATGTTCATTGTACATGCAGCAAAGGATAGAGTTGCCTGTAGCCACTGTGTTTTCTTCTTTCCAAAAAAAAAAAAGAAAGTTTGGAGCTGGGATGGGGAAACTGATTCTAAACCAGCAGTTATTGGAGTATCCAAATGAAACCTACAGTATATACAGAACATATATGCACATCATGCATGTGACCAGACCATGCAGCTTTATGAACGCTCCGCCTATGTGCTGTCTGTTAGACTGTCTACTTGACATACAAACATGACATACTGGTTTATTCACGCATTGAACACAAATAGAACATGGAGAAACAAAAAGAGTTAGAGACCATGTGATTGACTGAGGTATGTTCCACTAAAGTCTTATGTTTCAGGCTTTGTGATGTAGCTCTTGGTAAGATTGATTTGACAAGAAGTTATTCTTTGTATGACACTATGACTAAATTTGCTCTATCTGTTTTGTGTTGGATTACAGGCCACAGAATCGTATCTGGTGCATGAAGGTCCCCATCGAGGTCCAGGCATCTCAGAGTGTTTCCTAGTGCCTGAATCCTACAGGGTACAAGCCTTTTTCCTCTTTCTGTCCGTGTTATTGTTGATCGTATTATTTGTTTCTTTATTTTTCTGAGTGTAACATGACAAACTGAACTTTGATTTCTTTCTCATGGCTGATGTAATTAATCTGCTTTCAGGCTAGACTGAGTTGGACTTCAGATTGAGATAAGATGAGCTGGAATCGGTTAAGCAAACTATCAAACTCTGATAGAGCAGAGATATAATCTATAATGTTTTTGATTCATTTTCCGTTTCGTATCCTGTGTCGTAAAGCTTTTTTTGAGAGAAGAGTGTGTACATGTGCATCATAAATCTCATCGGCCGTTAATAATCTTGTATGCTGCGTTTATAAGTTCATATGGTAAGACGGTGGTTAGCGTTGAGAGGAATGCAGAGTTTATGTGGAGAAGCAGCTGCAGGAATTATCTACATAAAATATCATCAGGATTATTTAACTGCCAGCCACAAAGGAATGGTAAAAAGTAAAGTGTGTGTGTTTGTGTTTGGGTTAAAACCACATACACCAACTATATCTCTCGCATATGGTTCTCTTATGTGAGTTTTAATGGAAGTCTTAGCTGCTGCAACCGCAACTCGACTGTAGGGCTGCTTAACAAAGAACTGGGTGTGTGTGCGCGTGTGCTTGCATGTATGTATTTGTATGTGTACGCTGAAAGCAGAATTGTTTTTTTCATTCACCTCATGCTATTTTGTGGAGTAATGGCTGCGAGATCTGTGTGTGTGAAGCACGAAGACTGTGGTTTTGGATTTGTGCCTTTCAATGTGGTAATGCCGAACCTGTGTGCCTTTTCTCTGACCTCGCTCTTAACTCTTAATGTCAGTGTTTTTCCTTATGTTGTTGTTGTTGTATATTGGCTGTATTGTTGGGTCTGTCCTCCACAATAGTGATCGATCAGGATCATGGAAAATCATAGGTTCGTGGGTTGTCTCCAGTTACTGGAAAGTTACTTTTAAAAGTAATGCATTACAATATTGTGTTACTCCATAAAAACGTAACTAACTGTGTTACTTTTTGTCACCTGAGCTGGGCTTGCTTATTTATTTTTAAGAACAAAATAATAAAATAAAAGTTGTATTTTTGGCAACTGTAAAGGCCCTTTCACGCCAAATGTGAAATTAATAAGCCTCAGGCTGAATGAAGTGTCTCTGCCTCTGAACTTACTCCCAGTTTCTCTCAACACGGTAACAGGAGAGGTGTCAGTGAATAAATGGGAAAACAAAGTAACTTGCATTACTTATTTGAAAAAAGTAACTCCGATATTGTCTTGTTAATTTAAAAGTAATGCGTTACCCCCAACACTGGTGATCTCTAACTATATTTATTGCATCTGCAAAAAGTGGGAATCTGCAATTGTTACCTTAAAGAATTATTTGTGCCTGATTTAACCCATAAAAATGTTTTGTTGGCATACATTGATATGGTTCAGCACTGTTAAATAATATTTTTAACCTGAACAAGTTAATTTAGATGTTACCATTTTTTTCCAGTCTCTTAAAATGCAGTTTCTTGTAAATTATGGAAAATATAAAAACTGGTTACCTAACACTCCATGGTCTGTTTTCCCAGATTAAGCTTTTTGCTGGATTAAACCTGTAGTCCTGGATTAAATTGTGCCATATTGGTAAGTGTCCTTTGTGGTGTTGTCTTAAGTGGTCTATGAGAAAGCAGTCCTAATAAAAGAGCAGGCTAATCTGCCTCTTAAAGTTTGACAGCAGTGGCACAGCAGAGTTTCACGGCTGGAGAAGGTGCAAGATAAGCATAGTTGAGCGTGCCGCTAGGCAGCCTGGGCGCTGTGGTTTGCCACAAAACAGATGTGGATTTAGGAGACCACCCTGCAATACTGTGATGCAGGACTGGGGCCTATAGATGAGTCATAGAATAAGAGAGAGGGGGAGAGAGGGCTTATTTACCTTCCATTAACTGATTGAAATACAGATTGCAGTAATGTTGTATGGGGAAAAAAGTATTGCAAACCGAATGCTGACAAAGAATGCAGTCAGTCCTGCTGCCATGGAACAACCCTTGCATATTTGCTTGGATTTGCACTGATTCCCAAGGCTTAATGACTTTATGAATTTTACACCATATTTACTCAAACTTTACTAGAACAATATCTGAAACAATTATATTTCTATTCCATTTACAAGACTGTCGCTTTTGGAGTTGAAATAAGGGGGGAAATACTACTCGGAACTGACTTGGAAATATTGATCTGTAATTCATTTTAACATGTGCCAAAAGTAAATGGATTTTATTGCATGCTTTGTGTGCAGTTATGGCAATGCTTTATCCGAGTAGTTCCAAAAAACTGTGGTCTTAAATGCTATGGATGGATGTTATAAACCCAAGTTTTGTGCATTTCACCTTTTCTGTCACTAGATGAATGTAGGTCTTTAGCAAGATTGTCGAGGATGAGAAACTCCCAAACTTTGTTTTATTAAATAGGAAAAGGGTGAAGGGGCTAAACAAATAGGAGAGAAGTTTTTTTTCTTCCTAAAGTCTGAGCTTTCACTTTCTGCCTTCGAGGCGGGGTTAGCGGCGAGAGCAGCATGGAGTAGGCGCAAGAGGGGACTGCGAGCAATAGCAACGCGGGGAACTTCCACGCAACTTCAAAACGCGATTCATTTCTCGCCTCTGAGATAACTATGTACTCTCCATACTGCCTGACACAGGTAAATACCTTCATTTAATTAATCAGTCGTGTCTTTGTGTCCGGATGCTGCACTGTAGAACCTTTGCCGTGTCTTGTCTTCTCTTCTCTGTTGCTGCTTAATAAATGCATCGCAAAGTTATGCGTTGCACTTTTTAGAGCATTCATTTCGGCCGCGCGTTTATTTCCAGCTTCCAGCTCGCGCGCGGTATCGTTTCGGAACTCTTCTCGTGCATTTCATTGCACATGGGATCGAAGAGAAAATGGCGCTTCTCCCAAATCTATTTTATATAAAAGGAGATGGGTTTGTCCGGAGAGGAAGCGCGTCTCGCATAGTAAACGGCTCGAATTTTCGATGTCAAGCTATGAAACGTTATGGTAAAAAAACATTCATTTAGTTGTTTTCCCAAGCTGTGATGTTTCAGGAGATGACCCGACGGTGTGTCCAACAGCTGCTGCGCGTGAATGTCTCCGCACCCGAGTTCAGAGACATGTCCTGAGTGAGAAATGTGTCCAAAATATGTTACATGTGCATTTCAGGGATGCCTTTTGTTCTCCTGTAGTAGTTTAGTATGCTTATTTTATTGTAGATAAATGGACGGAGGAGAATACAAATGTGTTAAAACGCGTTTATTTCTAATATGAGAGAAATTTAGTTTTGACGTTATTCAATGGGCTATTATATGCACATACAACTTAAGATGTGCTATTAAAAAATATGTTATCTATCCATATTCATTCATCATTTCTGAACCTTTTTTTTCTTCATAATCTTAGGCATGTTGGAAACTTGATTAGCCTATATGTGCCTAACGCTGGCCTATTATAGGATACTTTTATGCATAACGATCTTGTTTGTGCAACACATCACAAATATCAACACAGGAGTAATAAAAGTGGGCTACTTTCAGGATTGCAATTCAATTATTCCCCGTAAAAAGTTTCATGACAGCAGGCTGTTGCAGGCTGAGGTTCAATCCGAGCAATTCACGCCAAATTGACGGCTGACTTTATTTACGGCCACCAATCTTTGAAAGATATTTTTCTTTCGAGCCTTAACTCGCTTTCATTGTTGGCCACGTATAGGCTATAATGCTTAAAAATATTAAGCAGTGTTTAATCTGTTAGTAGTCATTTAGCCTACGTTTTTGGAATTTATAGCCAATATATAGAGCCTTTATCTCTGACGGCCTACACTTGAAGCCTTTTTGCACAAGGATTAGCCTATTCTTTTTTAAGAAGCAACTGTGTTCTTCAAAGATGCGTGTGTTTTAATAAATAAATGCAAAGTAAATTGATAATGCATTTGCAGTCGTGTGCCATATATGCGCGCAGGGGCTTGTTTGTGCTTCACGCCGCTTGAAGGAGTCGAGCTGCGGCGGCTGGAATCTCGTCCGTCTCGGAGAGCCTCCCTCGCGCAGTTTGGCCCGGTTTTGTGGCAGTCGCTCTTTCTGGCTGTTAAATATTCCTGTAGCAGACATTCATGACAGGTCTTTAAAATAACTTTCCTTTGGGGTAAGTCATAAGTAGCTTAATTGAATTCTCTAAGATAATGTCCTATAGGCGTATAAACTTACGCGGCCTCTTTTTTTATAGTTTCTTTCTTTATTAATTTTTAGACGATTTTGGTCTTGCTTCAATTTCTTGGCTGCAAATAGGCCTTTCTTTCTCCTTTTCCCCACACGGCATACTGGGTCACGCCAAACTGTCGCTGATAAAAAATAATAATAATTGTTTTCTTATTTATTACGTTTTTGTTTTTAAAGCTAATACAAGCTCTAGCCCCCCCCCCCCCAATGTAAAGTAGGCCCGAACGGCAAGAATTTGTAAAGTGCATGCAAGCAGTATGCCTATAGGCTATTATTTTTAAAGAGGCACGTGTTCTTCAAAGGGTAGGCCTATGTGTGTATTTTTATTTAATAATACTAAAGAAAATTAAAAGTATATTTGCAGTCCTTTGCCAGGGCTGCATCGCGCGGCCTAGTCAGCGCACTCGTTCAATCGTGCGCATTCAAGTCTAATTCTAATTAGGCTATAGTTTCTTTCTTTATTAATTTTTAGACGATTTTGGTCTTGCTTCAATTTCTTGGCTGCAAATAGGCCTTTCTTTCTCCTTTTCCCCACACGGCATACTGGGTCACGCCAAACTGTCGCTGATAAAAAATAATAATAATTGTTTTCTTATTTATTACGTTTTTGTTTTTAAAGCTAATACAAGCTCTAGCCCCCCCCCCCCCAATTCAAAGTATTTAAAGCTAAAACAAGCCCTAGCCCCCCCCCCCCCCAATGTAAAGTAGGCCCGAACGGCAAGCATTTGTAAAGTGCATGCAAG